AAGAAGTCAGTGCTTTTTAGCAAAAGTAGTTTCTACTGTTATAAGGACAATGTTTTGTATATTCAAGGATTTCTTTTCTTTAATGATTATGTTTACTTACTTGGATGATGATAAAGGTTTAAGAAACTCGTGCCTAAAAGTTGACTTTGACCTTTTTTAAAAGGACCAAAACAGTGAAGATAATTCAGTGTTTGAAAAGGAGAGATAACATGATTTCAAGAAAAATTCTTGGAGAATCTGGTTTTGATTTGAGCTGCACAGAAACAACATGGCAATAAAAGATAATTAAAGAGGAACAAAATGCCCAGATGCTATGATTTTACTTGGTAGAAATGTGAGGACAGCAGGAAAAGAGAACCTGATTAGCAGCCACAGAGAGAAAGAACTTGTAGGGCAAAATATAGACTAAGGAATTCAGAGCTGCTAAAGATGGTGAATCTGAGAAATAATATATTACTGACCAGGAAATTATTGCTAAACAGTGATAAGGAATTCAATAGTGAAGTCAGTGCAAAAAAAAGAAGAGGTTAATATTGGAAGTTTTGTGCTGAAGGAGGGAGAGAGTTTTTAAGGATGCTGAAATTTGATGGAGCTCTTACCAGATTCTACAAGCTGCTTAAGAATGTTACCATTCCCACTCACGAAGCAGCCCACATAGTTTTATTGAAGTGAATGGTAATTTATAAAAAATAAAACATGAAAAACAAAAGTGAAGCTCTCCAAGCTCTTCTCCCTTTCTGCTGAATAACATGAAAAGTCCTTCAGACTGTGTTGCATCTGCTGCATTAGCAGCACCAATGAGCAGAAATAACACAAGAGAAAAAGCATTGGTGTTCTATCGGCACTGTTATTGGCTTATATCATCTGGGCTTGTAATAAAAAGTGAAATAATCAGCAAGTTACTTACACCCGGGAGATTATCATTTCTGCTGTTTGACCTACAGTGTCTTGTGGAAGGACTTGCCTTTGCTGAGGTTCTCAAAGTTGCTATTAAGTATTTATTCAAGCAGATCCCAGAAAGAGCATCTCCAACTACTCCTTTGTAATCACATTTGAGTCTAAGGTAATAAATACCTTTTTAGCGTCATTCAGAAACTTATGTTAGTGTCTGGCAGTGTCATAGTATGAGTCATGATGCTATAAGTGAATCTCTAAGGCTTTCTGCTCTTTCTTATACCTACAAGATGACTATAGATAGTATTCTGGTTTGTCTCATTCATTTATAAGTTGATACTTGCAATTACTTTCAGAGTTTATCATGTATTTTTTTTAAAAATCCTCAACAATTGTAAACCTTTCTTCTGTAGAGAGTGATCTAGATTAGGAAAAATGACTTTACAGCACTTGGGAATAAGGTAAAGATGAAATGATGAATTAATTTCTAAACAAGTGAGAAGTCATTCCAAAGTACTGCTTCTGTGTCATGATATACTTGGTGAATCATCAATATTAGAATGAATTATTTGGATATAGTGTATGAAAAACCTTGGATTATTTGGATATGGTGTGTTAGAAGCATAGTTCCAAGATTTTCATCTCATTTGGTTGCAGCAAGTTGGATCAACAAACTACTATCCATCTCTGTGGGGGACAGGGACAGAAACTGACATAAGATGAAGAAAAGGAAGTGAACAATGGTAACCAAATGGTCATACGAGTCTATTAAAGAAGAAATATACAAAAAATAGAGGATAAGAAAAAAAGACAATTGATACATGTCATGAAGAAATAAAAGATAAGGTGAGAAGGACCAAGGCTTATGAGGAGAAAGAAAGGTCATTGGTGTACAAAAATGTTCATTGGAATATCATCTGGACAAAAAGTCTAACTCAGATGAACTGTGATTTCTTATGACATTTTGTACAGATTGTGTTGTTGTTGCTGGGCCAAAGCCTGTATGTTCAAGGGGTTGCAATAATCAGGAGGTTCCTTGACAACTAATACCAAATTCTAACAATTAAGTTTGTCTATATTTTCCAGCAATGGTATCCTTTATTAACATTCTGCTCGTGCTTTGCCTGCTAGTTCCATCCTAGAAACTATTTCATTTACAATGTGAAAAAATTTTATTAGAAAATCATATTGCCTGATAGTCCTTTAGTGTCTGGAGGATATGCCAATCCTTTTCAGGAAATTAAATCAAAATAGACCAGAGAGAATTTTATAGAAATTCTTCTTTTTCATATGCTATATTTTCATCAATGCAAGATTAAAGGTTTGACAAAAATCTAAAAAGATTTGAGATATCCATGTCAGTTCAAGTATCTTCACTTGTAAAATAAGAAACCACTGGAGAGTTAGCTTGGAAAGGTCTTAACAGTGAAAAATCTTTTTCACATACTTGACAAATAGACATAGTCATCAAAAGTACTGACCTTTCTTTTCAACTTGTCTATCCAGAAGAGAGCAAAAAGTATAAACATGATGCAAGACAATAATTTTATTTTGTCAGTGTGTGAATAAATATAAGGCCATACATTCAATTGGTCTCTAAGATGTACTATTTCTTCTTGCAGAAAATAATATAAGTGAAGAAGAGAGATGAGGAGGAAAAGTAAGACTATGTATTACACAGATGGAACAGATACTTCAAAAAATTTATGTTCAAGAAATAGGAATGCATTAGAAAAAACAGAAGTAAAGTGAATAGTAGAGAACATTTAAAGGAACATGGAAATTTTACAAAGAACACTCGAAGAAATGTTTAATATTTCCTCTGTCAACTGATACTATATACTAGTTTTACAAATGGCTATTTATTGTCTAGAATTGCTTATTAATAAGAATATGTGTTTTCGTAATGCCCTTATTTATCAAACATATTTCTAGAGGTACTGGAGATAAAACTTGCACCTCTAGTCCCCTTTTGTGTTGGTTTATTTCAAGACAGAATCTTTGTTTGGGCCTAGATCTATCTGGCTGTGATTTTTCTATTTGTGTTAGCCTCTATTACTCAGGATGACAGGTGTATACCACTTTGCTCAGACATTGTACATTGTAATAAATAGTAGTAATAAATGGTATATACCACAAAAATCTAGCCATTGGTTGAGATGGAGTCTCTCAAACTTTTGTACTAGGGCTGGCCTCTAATCTCAATCTGCTGATATCTGCTTCCTAAAGTACCTAGGGTTAAAAACTTGAGCACTGTGCCTGGCACAGCTACCTTAGAGAAGGAAATAAAGCAAAATAAGAGAACATTGGGTCTTGTTCTTTAAATGACTTTAATTCATTTAAAAAGTTGCTTGAGGTTGTTATGATTTATTAATGACTATGTTACAGGATCACTGATTTTGATTCCTTGGATTAAACAACCATTAAGATTGAAAAAAATACCACCAGTTCATTCATGAAAAGACATCTGACAAACTTAGAATGGTTCTCTTAAAACTGTATAATGGGGTGTGTGTGTGTGTGTTGCGCATGTGTGTTCATGCACATGTGGTACTGGAGATTAAACTCAGGTCTAGGCTTGGCAGGCAAGTGACCTACTGGATGAGACATCCTCCATTCTTTTTTTCTTTTTTTTTTTAGGTTATTTTTTTCAGTTAGGGTCTCAAGCTTTATTCTAAGTTGGCTTTGGGCTGTTATCCTCCTTACTCACACCTTGACAGTAGATGGGATTACAGATGTTTGTTTTTCAGATTTCTTATGAATAATAGTCTTGTTACCCTGTTAACCTGTAATCTTTATCCTCCTATCTCTGCTTCCCAAGTAGATAGGATTATAGATGTCTGCCACTGTGTCTGGTCTTGGTTGTCTTTTGAAGTGTGTTTCAGGTTAGCTTTCTATCTTGGCAATTACAAGAGAAAGAAATGATCATGTACAAGAAGGCACAAAAATTGTCCTAATAGTGTACTTTGATATTTGGAATGGAGTGGATAATAAGTAGACCCCATTTAAGTACTTTCTTTCTTTCTTTCTTTCTTTCTTTCTTTCTTTCTTTCTTTCTTTCTTTCTTTCTTTCTTTCTTTCTTTCTTTCTTTCTTTCTTTCTTTCTTTCTTTTTGTCTGTCATGGGGCTTGAACTCTGGGCTTGGGTGCGATCCTTCAACTCTTCAGCTCAAAGCAAGCACTCTACCGCATGAGCTACAGTGCCATTTCCCGGTTTTCTAGTGGTTTATTGGAAATAAGAGTCTCACGTACTTTTCTGCTCGGGCTGGCTTTGAACTGTGATCCTCAGATCTTAGCTTCCTCAGTAGCTAGGATCACAGGTGTGAGCCACTGGCACCTGGCTTTTGAATATATTTTTCTGAGTATAAAACTTTCAAGAAAGGATAGGAAATGGAAGTCGTATAAAATGTAGTGGAAATATTGGAAGACAGGAATTGTGGAAGGCATGGGGACTTTGACATACATTATTATTTTGTTCAAAATATAGCCCTGAGCTAAAACATTTTGATATTACTCTTTGTTTTGTATCAAGGGGAGCATATGAGGTAAGTTGGGTCAATGGAAACGATTACAATTAGAAGCTTTGGCCTTCATTTAATTGTTACTTGACTGAGCAGTGCTGGGTGAAAAAATGGTTCTTTGTGGCAACGTCTCCGTATGTATAATGTGAGTCTGGCACTCTTTAAGAGTATACTGGATTTCTAATAGAAGCACCAGAAATACAATAAAGCCTATCAAAAGAATCAGACTTTGCAGAAAATGAGCTGTTATGAATGTGAATAAATCTTTGATAACTATAGTTTATTCTTATGAACTAATGCTGTACATATACTTTAATAACCATCCTTTTGTAGCTTGTTAAATAAAAATGTATATATTTTCTTGAATCCAGAATTATTACTTTGTTTGCTTTGGAATTTTTTCAGCTTCTCAAATAGAGTGATAAACAAGTACTCATCAATTTTCACGAATCATTAGTATGAGCTCTGCATTTCTTTAATCTGTTAATGACATTATGCTTTATGTCAAGGTATATTAATTTCCAAGTAAACTTATGTGGTAGTGTGCCAATTCCAATGATTTATCCTGTCTTTCCTTTTCTTCTAGTCTGCTCCCAGTTTTCAAGAGGAGTTTATGCGATTTTTGGATTTTATGACAAGAAGTCTGTAAACACCATCACCTCATTTTGTGGGACACTCCATGTCTCCTTCATCACGCCCAGCTTTCCAACAGATGGCACACATCCATTTGTCATTCAGATGCGACCTGACCTCAAAGGCGCTCTTCTGAGCTTGATTGAATACTATCAGTGGGACAAGTTTGCATACCTCTATGACAGTGACAGAGGTAAGTGATGGCATTTTTCCCTTTGTAATTGGCTAATCTCAATACTGGCACTTGACACATAAAAATCTACCAAGACCCAAGTATTACTTGGTTTAATTTGGCTGTATTATTCAATTTGAAACCTGGAAAACATGTTCACAGCGAAGCAACCACAAATGAAGCATGAGTGTACATGTGACAAGTGCTTAGATGTTCAGCTGAAAGCTAGCAGCCCACTCCCATATCACTAGGGACATTTAGGATGCCTTCATTACTAGTACAAGCATAGAAAAAGAACTTTAAAAAGTGGTGGTACAAGGGTATGAACTCAGGGTCTTCTTTTTTCTTATTGTAAAGATGCTGTACAGAGGGATTGCAGTTACATGAGTAAGGCAATGAATATATTTCTTGTTGAGTATTTTTACTCTCTCCCTTGTTGTTCTCCCACTATTCCTTCCCTCCCTCACCTCCCTCACTCCTCCCCCCATCCCAAGGTTGTAAAGTTCATTTCCAGTATACTGTCTTATGAGTATCATTGTTACAATGGGTCATCTTGTATCCTTATTCAAACATTTTGTTATTCCCCTTCCCCTCCCCAAATTAGACAAATGCATATACAAGATGCAGGATACCAAAATCAACAGTGACAACAGGGGATATACCATAGGGGGAAGAACATACAGAGGAAACAATTGTACATTAAAAACAACAACAAAGACCTCTTGTGTCCATTTCTTGGGGTTCATTTCACTTAGCATCCTAGGGCCTTCTTCTTCTTAGTGAGGTACTCTACCACTAAGCCACACTTCTAATCTCCCCACAAAACACTTTTGTAATCACTAGATATTGTTAAGTATTAGAGTTTTACCAAGCAGAAACTATTATTATTACTTTTGATATAAAGTAAGATCTCTGAGTCTCTATGAAGTTATGAGAAGTTGGGAGTTACTCATATCAAACCTGTGAGTATAGTTCAAGCCCATGTCTCTGATACCAGACCCATGCTTTTTAAACTAATTCCACATGACTGTTTATGATAAGATGTTCTTAACTCATACTAAAGTTTATGGAGTGAAGTTCTGACTGTATAGTTTTACATTCTCTCTTGTGAAGTTCAATAGTGCAGACCCATTTGACTTACAGGTCATGAGATACTAGATGTTCTTTGTCTTTCAGGGCACATGATTAGGAGACCAGTGGTCTGTGCACTTTTACATCCTGTGGAACACTTCTCACAGATGTTAGTCTTTCTGAAGACTACATAATAAAAAGCAAAAGGGTTGTTAACCACTGTTTTCAGTGCCATATTGTGCTCCCATCAGAAATGTATTTCTTAGAATATGTGTAAATTTAAGTGAAAGCAAAAATCCTGTTTAGACCAGGAGAGGGCACCTTCCTTGTCACTTGCAAGGGCAGACAAGAGGTAAGCCAGTATCAGTCAATTTTCCATTGATCTGTTGGAAGTGTTGGCTACAGAAATCCCAAATCAGGACTGCTCAAGCTAGGCGTCTGGTCTCTGCCCTGTGCTCCTGTTCCTGTGGAAGGGAGTTCTCTGGGGAAAAGCCAGTCAGCACTCTAGAACTGAACAAAAAATGCCATGCCAACAACTTTTCCCACAGCATTCAGAAGGAAGCTCTTTGCTGTCCCCACAGAGAGTGAAAGACAGCAACAGAAGCATTAGAGAAAATAGAGATTTCAGGGTGGGTGCTGGATAGTTGGGAAGCACATTTCTCATTAATGTCATGAAAGGACTTAATAAATTGAGTTTATTTATGTGTAGTATTTCCTCTTTCTTTCTGGGAATTGTTTTAGTACTTTGTTTTGTTAGAACTAGCTTGACAGTTAGACATATTTTTCATATTTTCCCACCTTTGCATCCTATTAATGTGATTGCTACCATCTATTACTAGTTTATTTCTAGATATTTTTTCTACATTACAATCCTTGCCTGCCAATCATCAATGTATATTCAGTGTGTCATCTCTCAAACTCCACACAAAGCAACTAGAATTATTTTCTAAGTATCTTTTTTACTATTTAATAATATCACTCTCTTGCTTAAAACACTTCAATGGCTTTGTATTTAATGAGAGTAAAATCAAAATTCTCAGCAGGGCTTGAAGGCTTTATACTACCTGGTTCCTGTCCAATTCTTCAGTGCACTCCGTTGCCTTGCTCTCTAAATCTAAATCCATTTGACCTTCTTTCACTTTCTCAGATAGACCAAACTTTTGCACTTCAAATGCTTACATATGACTCAAATTCTTACTGTTTTGCAATGTCCAGGTCTTTGTATCATTTCCTCAGATATGCCTTTCACACCCACTCTGAAAGCAGTGTTTTAAGTCTCCTTTCCTTCCTAGGACCTATCAAAATTCATAATTAATTCTGCCATTGATTCTGTCACTCAGGTGCTGCTTACTGAGTCCTCGCTCTGCTCCATGGGTTAACAGAAGCACCTGGGCTACACACTGTTAGCAGTGGAAGGGTCTCCAGGAAAGCAGTATCTAAATAGTGCCCCGTGCACGGATGAATCATTCCTAACTGGACATTCACCCGCCAAGCAGAGCTGGTGCTCAGTGTGCAAGTGTTAAAAAATGAATGGTTTAAACATCGGTGCATTTTAAATTTGATATGATATTAAAAGATGAATCTCGTTAGCTACAGTGATGAATCAGCAGATGAATGTCTTTGACAGTATGACAAGGTTGAAAATGGTGGACTCCACATCTTTATCCTTCTTAACCTTTTAACCCCCTGTGACACTTTTTTTTAACCCCCTGTGAGCTTTTAGAGTTTTCAAGTTGATAGTAGCTAATATAAATAGAAAAAGAGAAATATTAGTATTTGGAAAGAGGCTCAGTGAGATAGGCCATAGGGAATTGACAGGTGAAGATGGATGAACTTATGTACTTCCAAAGAGAATCTGGGACATTTTAAAGTGATTTTATTAAAACTTTGGATATATTAAATGAAATTGAAGTGATGAGATAATCTCTAATTATTAAATTATACAAATTGATATGAGTTGAGTGCATTTGTCCCATGAAGAACATTACAGGGATAATATTAAGTAATTATAGCTTAAAGCTAAAATGACGTGATGGATGTATTTTCAAGGTAGCATCAAGTAGCTGCTGCTGTTTAATGTGAAGAGTATCAGGCTGGCCTTTCAATTAAACCCATTTTCAGAGATAATGTTTAAGGCTCTCAAACTCTGGCAAAAGCTTCACCTCTTGGCTTATGGAAATTGGATTATTGCTCTCAGATTTTTTTTCTAGTTAATGATTTAATTTTTGTGGATTTGACATCATATTACATTTAAAAAATCATCCATGCATTCACCATGTGAACTACATTGTTCCTTGGATCCTTAACCCTTTTCTCTTCTGCTCTGGGGAGGCCCTTTTTCAATTCAGTGTTACATGATTTGGAAATTTACCTTTTTGGAGAGGCTAGATCATATCAGCATACTGTTATATTATGATGTCTAACAAATTAATTGTCTTTTGAATAACATAGGACTTAAGCATGAAAATATCCTTTCCAATATTGTGACAAGATTTCAAATCAGATGAAAAAGAATCAATATTGTTCTATTCTACTTCCTTGAACTGCTCTTAACTTAGATAACTTAGTAAGTCTTTCTTGTGCCCCAACTGTCCATCCAAATGCTGAGACAACAAATCAAGAGACCACATCCCATCTGCAAACCAGCAAATATATGAATGCCTCTGATCTTTGCACAGAATAATCTCAGATGAGTCTAAGTTTTCTGGTGATATTTCTGAATTTATTCACCTGGTACTAGGTGACCTTTCAGGATTGCTACTGTCTCCTCCTTAGCCAGGGCACGGCAACTAAGGACTTGATGTCCTTAGCAGCTTCTTACTATTCCACAGAGAGCAAGGGATAGAACTTCAGTGCATTTTAAACCAGAAATCAGTGGGCTGCCTCTGTTAACACACTAGCTATACTTTTAATCTTTGAACATGTATCTAGTATCTAATATAAAAGCCTAATCAAAATGCAGCTTTTATTTACTGTTTTGTTTTATCAACACGATAAGGTAAGACATTTTTATAGATAATAGTTAAACTTCAATTAACACTTTATATTTATCTGTATGTCTTGGTTTTAATTTTGAACAAATCTGTTTATCCTCTGAAAGGAAGGCACTTTAATTCATTCCAAGTAAACATCACTGTTTCTCCTAAAACAAAAATACTTTTTTTCTGATGTTCTGGAGAATACTGATGAGGGAAATCTGAACTTGATTTAGGTATGCAGCCATGCTTTAATGATCACAAATAGTAGATTTTGTGCCTGAAAGAATGGTAAGTGCAGTGGTTTTAAAATGGAACAATGACAGTATCATTCAGAACCACCATGTGATCTGAATAAGCTTCATCTTTTGGCAGTATTCATTTTAAATTTTCCCCTTTTGCTTTCATCTGCATTTAGGCTAAAGTCTTTCCTTTCACTCTGGCAACATTATTAATGCTACATCTAGATAAAATTATCACTTACTTCCGTTAAAACCTTGGGCTTCATGGAGAATATCGATGAATGAATAGGTTACATATAGCAAAAGAACATTACTAAATTATAAACACATAAATTTAATGCAATTTAATACTTTTTAGACTAGCCAATCTTTACTGTAGCAAAACTGTCTAAGAATTTAATGATACTGAAAACTTAGAATTAGACTCTAACAATATTGTTGAAAGTTTACAAAACAAATTCTTTTTAAACTCATGTATTTATCAGGAGAAATAGTCATTTTCTGATTTTTTTTATTTTTAGATGAGTATTATGTGGATAAACATTTTTATTTCTTCCAAATCAGTCAGGAACAAGAAATAAGAAGTTTTAGTACATTCATATTCATAATATGAATATTAGAGTCAAATGTTTAAAATTTATTTAATAACATTGAATAAAACAATAATTAGGTGAAGCTCCCAGTGTCCATGTGAGTTTATTCTGTAAGTTAAGGGGAAAGCATATTTATGAAGATGTTCTTAGTTTATATGGAGGAGAAAGTCACACTTGCACTCCTAACTATAACATGAGACTGAGAGAAGATGACAAATTAGGGTGGAGAAATGCTCAATGGTAGAACACTTGCTTAGCACGTGCAAGGCCCAGCACTGAGGATAAAAGAAAAAAGGGGAAAAATAGAGCATTAATTTGTGCTGATTGAACATTTTAATTTCACCTTCAGAATTATCCAATTTTGGTGTTACTGAAAATTTAAAAGTATTAACTATAAAAAAATAACTTTAGCAAAACAAAAACCATTCAATTGTGTGAACAAGGGATGAAATAGAGAGGGATTGAAAAAAATGGTTTCTGTTACTGAAAAAAATCAAAGTCATGGATTAGTAAGCAAAGGACAAATTGCATGTGGGCTCATTCTCTGGATTGTGAAGGACTCCTGGCAGTCCTCTGGAGGTAGCTTGATATTATTCCCTGTCTTTTGACTGAAGTAAATTAATCAAATATGACATTGTACTACTTTAGCTCTCTAGCTACTTAATAAATACATGTAATTATTGTTGGGTTCTACAGGCCACAAAATATTAATCCTGAGTTATAATAATAGAAAATCTACTATCAGTTACTTTTGACACAGAACAAATGGGATTGAAAGTTAGACACCTTTAAAGATCCCATTCTTTTTATTTTATATATCATTTCCATATTATTTGACAGGGTGAACTGCCAATAAATTTAAGTTTAAATTTATCATTGGGTGGAATCCACTTACAAATTTATAAGTGGATTTATATGTAAATTTTCTTATAATATCTGTCAAAGATGAGATAAAATGTCAAGGGCATCACCACATATAATTTTTAGTATGAGGAAAATCAAAGTTAAATAAAAATACAATAGAATAAAGGAGGCTCACTACAATTGTTAGATGAGTAAAAGTGTACATGCTATCACATCATCTATAGATATACTTTTAAGAAGGTGATTGGGGAGAGTTGAACAATCCTTGAAATGTGGAAAATAAGGCTTGAAGAATAGATGAGGTGGGGTAACTTAGATTTCTTTTTCCTACTTGAGAAGAACACAGACTAAACTTAATAGCTGTTTTCAAGTTCACTGGTAGCTGCTGAATTGATGTGATGACCAGCTGTGCATCTTATGTCTTTCCTGATGATGTAAAACAGGAAAGGGACTTGAATTTTAGTTGAAAAGATTTAATTTACCTAAAATGAACAGAAATCATAGGCGTTCTCTGATGTGTTCTGAAGTTTTATCATTAAGTTTTTTTTAAATTGACATGTGATGTGTTCAAGTCATCCCTTGAAAAAAATTCATGTTTATTTATGCCTTTTTTTCCACATGAGTAGATGAAAGAAGGTAGTTGCTGTTTTACTATCCCCAAACATTTTAAGTTCAGTTTAAGTTTCAGTCATCAATTAGGAAATAAGGTAGATTATCTTAATGTTTAATGAAATATTTTAATGGTAAGATATAGTAATAGAAAAACACCCAGGAACTCTTAAACCAGCTTTAACTATGACTAGTATAATCAATTTTGTTTTATTCAATTAATCTCTCTCCTCTCAAAAACTATCTAGAGAAAAACACAACTATTTTATTTTATCTGTACATATTTTGATATTTATTTGGAAAAATAATTCTTATTTTAAACAGCCATGTCAGCATGACATTTAAGGAATAATCAATTAACAGCCTCATTTTTAAGTGTTCAGGGTAAAGTTAAATACCATGTATCACAACTGTTTAATATATCTTGTCAGAGTTTTATTATGTTTTATTATGTTGTAGTCTAGCATTTCCCACCATCTGAATTCGACCCCTGCAATCCAGGTGTATTGTCAAGCAAGTGCTCTAACCACTTGAGCCATGCTCCCAGTTGCCATGGGAGGAACAGGTAGGAGGACTGCTGTCTGGTGTTAGCCCCAAGGAAAACTATTAAATTATAACTGAAAAATTCAAAAGGCTTGAGGGAATAGCTCAAGTGGTAGAGTAATTGCCTAACAAGCATGAAGCACTGGGTTCAAACCCCAGTTATCACAAAATAAATTGTATCCTAGCCATTGCATTTAATACATTAATTAATATTTTGATGTTCATATGATTCCATCTTTATTTAAAGAGACTCTTTTAGTCCTAGGACACACACTTCATTTTGAGCACTTCCTTGTTTTATTTTATCACAAGATATTTGAGGCTCATATTGCATATTATTTAACCAATATGGAATCCATCAAATTCTTTTTATGTGTTTGGGATAAGGTTTTCCTATGCAACCCAGACTAGTCTTGAACTCAGTCCTACTGCGTTAGCCTTTATGTGCTAGAATTACATGGATGTACCACCAGAACTGGCTTCAATTCATAATTTCTTTTTCTGGTCCTGGATGTCAAACTCTGGACCTGGGTTTGGTCCTGAGCTGTTGTGTTCAAGGCTAGTGCTCTGCAGTGCTCTACTTCTTGAACCACAGCTCTACTTCCAGCTTTTTTGGGGCTAATTAGATCTAAGAAGTTCTTGGACTTTCCTGCCTGGTTTCAAACCATGGTCCTCAGACCTCAGTCTACAGAGTAGCATGAGCCACTGGCACCCAGCCAATCTATAAAATTCTTTTTTTTTAAATTTAATTGTCAAAGTGACATAAAATTCTTTATTTATTTTTCTAGTATTATGATTCAAGGTCAGTCTGGGCAAAAATGTTAGTGAGACTCCATCTCCAAATAAGTGGTAAAAAGCTGAGTTGAAGGTCTGGTTCAAATAGCACAGCACTAGCCAAGCAAATGTGCAGTTCAAAATATAAGCTACATATAGTCAAGGATCATCATCATCATCATCATCATCATCATCATAATTACCATAATTACCATACTTGCCATGCTGTAAGAAAAGGCACTAATAAGTAGTCAAATGGGTTTTTCACAAAATATTTTTTATGGTAGTACAAAGGAGTTTATATTTAGGAAATGAAACAAATTTGGTTAAAAGATGAACATTAACAAAATAAAAACAGTAACAAAAATAAAATAACAGGAGCTTGCAGAAGGAAGAACAACTAACAACCAGAAGCAATAGCACAATCTAGTACACATTATTTGCTCTTGTACTCCCATGCACCCCCAAAGAGCCTTCTCCCTGAGCGTCTTTATCTTTGTTAAGTGGTCACATGGGACAAAATAGCTTCTATATTCTATGAATTAAGAAATCTTGTGGGGTCTTTAGATTTTACTTAAACTGGAGGTAATAAAGACATTATGCTTTAGTTGTGTTGCACAGAAGATGATGAACTACTGAGCATCCAATTTTGACCTCATTTTTATCCAACAACAGTTTAAATCATGAGTTCCTGATGTGAAATAGACCAAAATAGATAGATAATAGAGATTCGAGCCAGGGCTTTTTGTGAAGAGTCATCATCCCCTCGGCTGCACAAATACATCAGGCTTACCAGGCCACATACTGGTGATTTCACAGCCCAGTTTGAGCTGTTCAAGTCCCTTTATCAGTCAGCCCTGTCCTTTGCTCTTCTAGGCTTATCAACACTGCAAGCTGTGCTGGATTCTGCGGCTGAAAAGAAGTGGCAGGTGACTGCCATCAATGTGGGGAATATTAACAATGACAAGAAAGATGAGACTTACAGATCACTCTTCCAAGATCTGGAACTAAAAAAGGAACGGCGTGTAATCCTCGACTGTGAACGGGATAAAGTGAATGACATTGTTGACCAGGTTTGCTCCACTCTGTTTTCTAATGGCATCAAATATAGAACCTGCTGCCATGTCAGCATTGGCAAGGAGCAAAAGCTCTTTTGTGCAAGATGTTTGAACAATGGTTTTCATTTTATGGTTTATATAGGATGCCATGAAGATGATCAATTAAATTTCCTCTGGATTTAGTTAGCAATAGCAGTAGCTTATCAATCATGCTAACTGATCAAATTCATCATTTATTTTCAGATTTTTATGTTCTACATGCTAAACATTGCCTTGAATATTGATATTTTGTACTTGCATAGTTTGAACTAAATTCTGCTGAACTATTTAGGGATAAACATACAGTATTGTTAAAATTAATGGCAAGCTAAGAGAAGGTGAAAAGATTTTTGTAGAGTACATACAGCATGTAGACTATAATATACTAAGCTAATATTACCATCTAACTCGATATCTCTATAGAGAATAAGTATTTTTAGAATAAATCATTTTTGTCATATATTGAGGGATTTGTGTCAATATAAAAAAACCCCTGGGAAATTAGCCACAAGTACCTATTTAGAGGTTTGAAAAAGTAACATGATGTCAGCGATAAGGAGGTTTTGTATCTGTCCCTAGAATACCAGCATGCTATACTTTTGGTTTTTTTAGGATAACACAGCCACAAAGTGATATTGTAGTGATTAAAGATAAAATGTACCTGCTTTCAAAGTCAGGGTAAATATCTAAGGAAACATAATCATACTGAGTAAGATATCCTTTGATGATATCTATACCTTTGCCTTATTTTTTCTTTCTCTCTGTTTCTCTGTTTCTCTCATTCTATGTGTTTATGTGTGCAAATCTATGATTGTGGCTTGTATTTTGTTGAAACAAAAACACATAAATGACATCCTTATTGGCCCATGTAGGCTTTAAGGAAAAAAAACACAGTCATTAATTTGTATAACACAAAACATTCTACCAACATTGGTGAAGCCCTAATTGATATATTATACAAGCCCTAATTGATATATTATACAAGTCTTGAAACATGGAAACTGCATGCCTCATGAAATATTGAATAACTGAATAAAACTAACTTGTTATCACAAAGAACTAAATGCTATATGCCAGAGAAATGAATAATTTCAGAAGGAAAATCCTAGTGCCCGTCTCAGGAGATTAATCTGAAGGTCTCTTGTTCAAATGTGAACCTCAAAATACCATTTGAATTTCATAGGAAGTTCTCATTAAAACTGAATTTTAATAATGTTCATTAATCTGGCTTAAAAATATTAGGTATTCCTGACTCATCTTAATAAAAGTTAGCAAAAAGTTTCTGTAAAAATTTCAAAACCAGAAGACAGAAATTGGAAAGAAACTAGGACATTATGGAAATCTTGTTTTGAATATGTGATCATTCTTACATAAATGTTTATTTGGACAGATATTCAACATGCACAATGGTTTGCATAAGATTCTCGAGTGAATGCAATGGACTGTGTGTCATTTAGCTAACATTTATTAAGGACATTCTCCATCTTGAGCCAGGGATGCACAGAAAGCCAAGTTCATAGTGCAACATCCTATGAACTTGTTTAGAAGGGAAGAAAAAAGTGAACATACACCATATGATGCGAGTATGAGCTATAGTTTAATGTGATAGCTTAGCTTTCTTTGCTGTAGCCAAAGCCTGAGATAATTATATTATAGAAAGATAGTTTTTATGGTTTCCATCTATAGTCAATTGGACTTTTGCTTTGGAAAATGTATCATGACATGTGCTGGGAGGTTTGGGGGAAGAAGCTGCTCACCTTAGGGTGTAAGGAAGCAAAAACAGAGAGAGTGAGAGACCAGGGTCTTGAAATCCTCTTTCAGAGCCATCTTCCTTTGATCACAGATCTTACTTTCATTAAGCCCCTACCTTTTAAAGGTTCTCCAATCTTGCTATACTGAGAAACAAGTCTCACAAAGGACTTTGGGGGAGATTTAAATTCCACAGAATCACTGTGATCTAGAGAGCACGGGGGAGGCAGTATCTGTTCTTAAAAGGGAAATGATCATATTGTAAATTTCCCACAATAGGTGGCATTTGTCTCAGATTCATTCATTTCTTCATCAAGTAAAAGCTTCCTGACAGATATTGCATTATGACGAAAATAAAGCAACATAAAGCAGGAAGCTTTCCTTCCTTCCTTTTTCCTTCCTTCTTTCCTTCCTTCCTTCCTTCCTTCCTTCCTTCCTTCCTTCCTTCCTTCCTTCCTTCCTTCCTTCCTTCTTTCTTTTCTTTTCTTTCTTCCTTTCTTTTTTCTTTATGACACTGGTACTAGGGTTTGAACTCAGGTCCTAATATTCTCATGTAGCTTTTTTGTTAAAGGTGTTCTCTACCACTTGAACCATACCTCAAGGTTTTGCTTTTTACTGTCTAATTGAAGATAAGAGCCTCATAGACTTTCTGCCCAGGCTGATTTCTAGCTGTGAAACTCAAAGTTCAGCTCCCTGATAAGCATTATAGACATAAGCCATAAGTACCTTGCTGAATGCACTTATTTTAAGCTGTAATTTAATATAAAAAGTATTTAGTCATAAGAAACATTTATAAATTAACTTTTCTGTTGTTAGTATCATATTAGTCACTACTATAAAGCAAAGTTATGATGGCCACCTACTGTGGTCACTAATTTTTCTTTTATGGTCATAGCGATAGTGAGTATTCATATCCCTACTGTTAATGAACATTAGGGACAATGCAGGCCTATTTGTATAATCATTTACTATTTATGTCTAAATTCTCAGAAGGAAGACATAGATGTTTCTGAAACAGCATTTACAATAAGTACAACCAACAGATGTCCTTAGGAGAGCCAATGGACACAATCATCCTGATTAAGTTCAAGTTAATTCATATACTTTTAATTCAGAAACACATCTGTTTGTATTTTTATTTTTCCAGAATTTTCCTTTCAATATAGAGGATTCAGTTCCTTTGGAAAGGCAATTTAGTTGTGTTACATAAAAACTGTTTTAGAACACAATATAAGTTCCAACTTCCTGTCTAAAGGCTACCACTTAAAATTACAGTGGCACCTGATAAAAATCCTTCCTAGGACTCTTGTCTTCGACTTGAACTGAGTGTATTGCTTTGGAGTACCTGAATGCCTAGGATAATGGAGAGTCAAGGAAGTCATCTCCTAGTAGATAGCAATGAAGCTGAGTATCAAGGTGCTGTAAAAATAAAAGTGGATGAAGAGCACATTCCAATCAGAAAAGCCAGAGAAGTGAAGTACTAAGGTTATAGAGAGGAAGGGTTCAAGGTCTCTGAGTGCACAGGATGAAGAAGGTAGATTTGGAGAAGCTTGCAAGATAGTTGGATTCTGTACCATATTAAAGTGCTTATTACTGGAAATCATCGAAACAGTTCAACCAAATGTAATTTTTTTTGTCTATAGCCCTGACATTCCATGTTTTCCATTGGGGTGCTCACTTTCCTTACCAATGGGAATTACCTTTGAATACTGATTATCCTTGATTCAAACTAGCTCACTTTCTAACTTTTTAATATTGCAATGAAAGGCACAGGCATTCATTAGAGACCATTCCAATCTGAGTCTTTTCCAGAGCTAGCAATATGTAGTGTGACGCTCTTGCTCTCTTGCAGCAGCCCTAGCTTCCAGTCAGCCACTAGAGCATGAGGGGAAAACGATCTATGCTCTTAACCTTCCTGTGTTGCCAGGCTGTGGTGTTTGGTGATGAGGTATATGAGATACATTTTGACTCTACATATTTTATCTTACATTGGGTTTATCACCTATAAACCCATTGAAGGATAAAGAGTATTTGTAACCATGTACGAGGAACACAGCATGGCCATGTCATCTGTACCTACTCTCTTGGTAATTGATGTAGGTCAGTGAAGGCAAATTGATTCATCAATACCCAAAATTATTGTAAGCATCTGAGAATGACTCAGATTTGTGGAGAAAAATACCTTCTCTCTTTCCTTAATGTCTAAGGTTAGAAATAATATAATTTGAACTAAGCCATAAACATTTCATGATGTTTAGAGTAGGAATGCCATATTACATATCCATATACATTTTTGTATTTATTTTCTGTTTTTGTATTTTTTACTGTAAAAATATTGTACAGAGGGGTTACAGTTACATGAGCAAGGCAATGAGTACATTTCCTATTGAGCATTGTTGCCTACTCCTTTCTTTTTCCCCTACCATCCCTTACCTCCAACTTCTACAACTACTCTCCCCCCCACACACACACCTACAAAGTTGGGAAAGTTCTTTTTCAACAAAATGTCTTGTACATCTCATTATTACAATGGGTCAAACCTGTATTCCTATTTAAGAATTTTGTGTTTTCCCTTCCCCTCCCCAAATTAGAGAAGGTTTTTTTTTGTTTTTTTTTTTTGGTCAGTTGTGGGGCTTGAACTCGGCTTGAGCGCTGTCCCTGCGCTCTTCAGCTCAAGGCTAGTGCTCTACCACTTGAGCTACAGCACCACTTCATTTTTCTGGTGGTTTATTAGAGATAAAGTTTCACGGACTTAACTGTCTGGGCTGGCTTTCAACCGCGATCCTCAGATCTCAGCCCTACAGAGGGGTTACAATTACATGAGCAAGGTAATGAGTGCATTTCTTATCAAGCATTGTTGCCTCCTCCTTTGTTTCCCCTTACTATTCCTTCCCACCCATTCCCCCCCTCTCCACCAAAGTTGTAAAGTTCGTTTTTCAACATAATGACTTGTACATCTCATTGTTGCAATGGGTCCACCTGTATCCCTACTGAAACAATTTGTCTTTTCCCTTCCACTCCACAAATTATACCAACATCAAATACAGTGAAAACAGGAGTTACATCGTGGGGGCGGGGGAAGGATATACATGTTGTTTTGATTTGCATTTCTTTTATGGCTAGAGAGGTTCAGCATTTCTTCATGTGTCTATTGGCCATTCTTATGTCCTCTTCAGTTAAGTTTCTCTTTAAGTCTTTAGTCCACTTATTTATCGGCCAGTTGTTTCTTTGAGGATTTGTTATTGGGGGATTTAATTTTTTTGAGTTCCAGGTATATTTTAGATATGAGACCCTTGTCCATTGTATGGCTAGTGAAAATTTTGTCCCAGTTCATGGGCTTTTTATTGATCTTGCTAGCTATGTCCTTTGCCATGCAGAAGCTCTGCAGTTTCATGCATGTCCATCCTTTCTTTGATTTGTTGTGTTTCTGGGTCTCTATTAGGAAAATTTCAGCCTGTGCCAAGGAGACCTAGGGTTTCTTCTATTCTTTCCAGTAACATCGTGAAAATGGCAATACTTCCAAAGGATATCTACAAATTCAATGCAATACCTATCAATATTTCAACCTCCTTCTTCAAGGAAATAGAAGAGGCAATCCAAAAATTCATATGGAACAATATAAGACCCCAAATAGCAAAAACAATCCTTAACAGAAAGAACAGTGCTGGAGGAATATCAATACCAAATTGTAAACTCTACTACAAAGCCATAGTAATCAAAACAGCTTGGTACTGGCACAAGAACAGACCTCAGGACCAATGGAATAAAATTGAAAACCCAGAAATGAACCCACAAACCTATAGCCACCTAATATTCCATAAGGGAGCTTAAAAAGTAGAATGGAAGAAAGACAGCCTCTTCAGTAAATGGTGCTGGTAAAACTGGTTAATCATTTGTAGGAAACTAAAGCTAGATCCTTATATATTACCCTGCACCAGAATCAACTCAAGATGGATCAAAGACCTCAGAGTCAAAGCTGACACCCTGAAAACATTTGTATTTATTTTCTTACCGGCATTCTTTGAAATTTGTATAGCTCTATAAACAATTATTAAGGATGCAGGAATATAATAGTCCAGTGTCAATTTTAGCTGCTTGATATTTTACTAAAAAGACATAGAATTTTACAAATAAAATTTAACTTATTGTGGATTAAGTGACTTAATTTTATGCTTCTCAAAACTTTGTGGCTTGACTTTCACTATAACAAAAATGAGCTGATCATTTTGGTTTAGTGACTGACTCCTCAAAAGATATTAAGCCATAAAGCATATTATTAGTTTTTCTCAAGAATAATATTCTGTCGTTTTGATTATTATGTTTTTAAAAGGGTCATTATGGAATATCAAAAGGTACAGTAGGTAAATTGCAAGAATCAAATCAGAATGCTAGTGATTGTACTTTGAAACATATGTATTTATTAAATTATTATTTCTTTATTGCCATTAGGTTATCACCATTGGAAAACATGTTAAAGGCTACCACTACATCATTGCAAATCTGGTAGGTTATTTAATTGCTATTTATTATTTTATTGGATGCTGTTATTAATTAAAATATTAATTTGGAGTAATCACCATTTATCAATGTTTGAAAGTATAATTTTATTATATTTGATTGATAAGAAATACAAAGTCTTTTCCAATATAAAAGTTTATAAACTGTAAGGAAGTATGATCTTTGTGTTGATCTCCCATTTACAACCTCAGAATAAAAACATGAAAAAAAGAGGGTAACATGCAAACAAATTATATGAATGCAGGTGGGTTTTATGATTTTTTGAGTACCAGCTTGTATATCAGAAAACATTCATAGCTGTGTCAGAAAGAAATAAAAATAAAACCATCATTCTCATCAAAGTTACTATCAGCATCCTATGGTTGTTGTAGAAGAAATTTCTTTTTTTTATTGTGAAAATACTGTCCAGAGGGGTTACAATTACATGGGCAATATAATGAGTACATTTCTTATCATGCATTGTAGCCTCCTCCTTTGTTTCCCCTTCCTATCCCTTCACATCCTCCCCCCGACCCCCACCCAATTCTCCTCCCCCCCAACCAAAGTTGTAAAGTTCGTTTTTCAGCATAATGACTTGTACATCTCATTGTTGCAATGGGTCCACCTGTATCCCTATTTAAACGATTTGTTTTTTCCCTTCCCCTCCACAAATTATACCAACATCAAATACAGTGAAAGCAGGGGATATACCGTGGGAAAGGAACATATAAAGCAACAAAGAAATAATCTTATAAATGTGTTAGAAACAATCGCATGAAAAAAAAAAAAAACATTTGAATACATATCTTAGGGTTCATCTCCCTAACATCAACTTATCTGACCTTTTCTGCTTGACTCAGACATGTACAAGTTCTTGCAAATAAGGGAAACCATGGGACTTATGTTTCTTTGGGCCTGGCTTACTTCACTTAATATAACTTTTTCCAAGTCTTTCCATTTCCTAACAAATGGGGCAATGTCATTCTTTCTGATGGAGGCATAGTAGAAGAAATTTCTTCTTGGCAATACAGTACCTGTGTATAAACTTTCTCTAGGATTTCCCTTAGTATGTAGCGAAGACATCCTAAAGGTCTTCCTAAAGAGAAGCAAGAGTTAAGTAACTGTAACTCTAGAATGAACCTGTAGAGCCAGAGTGTCAGGAACAGCCTGGACAGTCAGTCCTTTGTGTGAATCTTGCCATATGATGAACAACTCAGAGCCACATTGAAAGCTGTGATCTTTAAAAATAACCAGATGGAGAAGATTATATTGGGACATTGAGAAATAGTGACAGAAATTGGTTCCTCAATTTGAGAGTTGATATGTGATGGTACGGAAAAAAAGAAAGAAGGGTTTGAAAGAACACAATTTAAAAAATTTTTAAAACGTTCATGCTGCCTTCATAATTTCCAGGGTCAGATCTACTAAATATTTCATCCAAACTCACAACCCATTCTTCCTTCAGAATATTTGGTTTCCTTGTTGTATGAAGTTTTAGTGAATCAGTTATGAAAAACAGTCTGTTCTCTGCCGTAAATTCCAAGAACTTAGAGGACACATGGACATTCCACTGATATTTCAAGCTGAAGAAGGCCATCCAAAGGTGTAGGGCTTTCGTTGTTCAAACTCGTGATTTTGTGTGTTACATTTCCCCTGCCAATGTCTGTTGAGTATTAGAAAGTGTTTTTATGGGATATTTAAGAAAACCTGAGATGTTATAGATTAATATCTTCAGGACTTGCTGAATGACTGATTTAGTTCCCCAGCTCAGGCTATGGCTGAGTTTTGATGCATCATTTAAAAGCAGAGCTGAGCCACATGATGATGAGGAAGTGATCAGAAGGTAATTGGTATTCCCTTCTGTGACTGCATCATCTCATGGCCTTAACTTAATGCTTTCAGAAGTAGAGCTTCCCCAGTGCTAGGGATTTGACATGATTCTACCTTTAAAATCTTAAAGTGTTTAAAGATCATCAATGGGGACTACTTTTAAATCTCACACTTTGAATTTCTGTAGACAAATCACAGGGTGGGGCTGTAGAATCAGTCAGTTTAAATCTGATGAGTTATTGTCATCTGGCTGGTTAATCCTTGGCTCTTTCCTGTGATTCATGTCTTCTTTTCTTACTCTTCCTCCTCTGCTTTACCTAAATTGACGTTTCAGAGAAGAAAAGAAAACATACAGAAATACTGATTCTCACAAAGAGTAGCTTAAAATCTTATTGAAAGTTTCAGTTGAAAGTGTTGTTTAGAGTAAAACCACAGTAAAATCTCTGTGAATGGATAAGATTTTATAAAATTCCCCTGAGAAGAGACAATGGGAAAGTAAATCTCAACAGTATAGAAGCCAACAGAATAGATGAAGGATGAAGAAAGAGGAAAAGGTGAAAGTGGTTATCCTGGATCACAAACCAGGGACAAATGTCATTCCATAGGACCTTGTGAGAGTCAAACTTAGAAGAAGCAAAAACCTGACAGGGCAAGGTAGAGGTATAGAGTTCTGTCCTGGTTTCCTAGGGCAGAGTATGGCCTGGGTATCCATGTATGCATTGAGTAAGCATGGTGAGAAGCATTCTATATGGAACAGAGAAGCAAGAGAAAGGACAAGGAGCTTAGTAAAGAAGGTGTTCATGGGAAGATTTAGGTGTAGTCAAAATGACCTTGTCTTGAATTAATGTCTTCAACCTGAGGGATGGCAGAGGGGCTTTTAAACTTTCTGAGTGCACTAAGGACACTCATTAGCAAGGGAAGACTATTAATTTTGCCATTGATGAAGGACTGTGCAGGAGTCATTTCTACTGCCCAAGGAAAATTATCTAGGAAAAATGATGGATTTGAGCCACTGGCCAAAGGAGAGGATGTACCCAAAGGATGGAGGGGCATGTTAGCTGTACATCTAAAATTGACCCTAGGAAACCTGGATGGGTCAAAGTACTCAGCAAATAGTATCTTATCCAAAAGGCCTTTGTAGGAAATGACTGGGCATGTGAGTATTACCTCCAAACAACCAGGTAGTCCCTAGTTCCTAAGCACAACTTTTTTTTTCTGGAAGAGTATGAATAGGAGAAGTTCTGAAGACTTAAACATATACTGAAAAAACATGACAACTAACTGAAACGAATGTCTAAACCTTGCCACCCACCATCCTGGACCTAGATTTTAGGGAGGTGCGTATTCATATTGTAGAGAATTGAAGGGTTCTGAATGGCCCAGAAGAAAGGAATCAAAAAATTGCCAATATGGATTCTGTGTTTATCACTCACCTCTGTACATGACATCTGCTTGATTTCACTAATGAATCTTACTGTCCTATGAAAATCCCAAGGAAGTTTTCAGTGTCTGGCTCTGAACCAGCAAAGTATAACTAGGCAATGGGAAGGAAGTCTCTGGCATGAAAGATGGATAAAAATACAGAAATAGGGGCTTGGAAGGTGGCTCAGTGGTAGAGTGCTTGTCTTGCATGCATGAGGCCCTGGGTTCAATTCCTCAGAACCACACAAGCAGAAAAAGCTGGAAGTGGCACTGTGGTTCAAGTGGTAGAGTGCTAGCCTTGAGCTGAAGAGCTGAGGGCAGTGCTCAGGCCCTGAGTTCAGGCCCCATGCTTGGCAAAAAAAAAAAAAAAAAAAAACAGAAATAAAGCAGAAAACATAGGAAAATGAAGTTATTATAATCAGTATCTATAGAAAAGTAAGGGAAATATTTAACTTATAAAAAATGTAAGGCAAGGGGGGGAGGGAGGGGGGGTATGATTGGGTGGGGGGGAGGGGGGAGGCTGGGAAGGGAGGTGAAGGGTAAACAAAGGAGGAGGCTGCAATGCTTGGTAAGAAATGTATGCATTTTCCTGCCCATGTAATTGTAACCCCTCTGTACAGTATGTTTTCAAATAAAATTAAAAAAAAAATGTAAGGCAAAAACATTTTATTGAAAAGTCAGAGGGGTAATAAAGAGACCTCTGAACATTAGTTTCCTAAAATAACAGGTTAAATGATATGAGCTTGAAGATAAAATTGAAACAGGCTCCCAGATAGGAACAAAATGTGAACATAATATAAAACATACATATACATATATATATATATATACACACATAATATAAAACATATGTATATGATATATACATATATATATCTGTAAGCTTAGGCAGTTAATCTCAAGGTTATAATATTATAATAAAAGACATTTCAGAAGGAGAGAAAAGTTGAACTAGGGGAAAAAACCATTCTAATACTCAGTACTGATGGTCACAAATCTACCCACTGAACACATACAAAGGTGAAAGGAGGAAGACTTACAGGAAAATGTCAGGGATAAAGAGAAGATTTTTTTTAATTTCTGATAGAAGTTGGGGAAGTGTGTAGGGGTAGGAAGCAGATCATGTACAACAAGTATTTGAAAGGATGTATTTTTTGTCAAAATACTTCTTAAGTGTCATGATAAAATATAGTTCCTTTCAAACACTCAGTGTCTGAAAACATTTACTAGCAATTGTCTTGGGAAATTACTGTGGGATTCTAGTAGAAGAAAGAATAAAACAAAGGAACACAAGCAAGGGAGTGAAATTTACCAAAAAAGTAAAAAGAAGTAAAGGGTATTTCAAGTAGATAGAAAAGGCACCAGTTCAGATAGTAGTTTCAGGAAAGAAGTCTTAAACTCAGTGTGGTAGTGCACACTTCTAATCTCAGCACTCAGGAAGCTAAGGCAGAAACATCCTGAGTTCATGGGCAGCCTCAAAGACTTAGTGACATAGTGTCTCTTTTTTGCTTTGTTTTTTAAACACTTAAATTTTATTGTAAAGGTGATGTACAGACCAATACAGCTACATAAGTCAGGTAATGAGTACATTTCTTTTTTAACAGTGTCACTCCCTCCCTCATTTTTCCCCAGTTTTTCTCCTTCCTCCCTCCGCCCAACAAGTTGTATAGTTCATTTTCAACAGTGTCTAGTGAATATCACTGCTGAATTGGCTCACCATTTCTGTGCTTCCCCTTCCTTTCCCCAAATCAGATAGACTTAAATATAAAACCAAGGGTATAGATATAAAAAAAAACAGACCCAAAGGAACACAAGCTGCCTGGTTTCCCTCATTTGTAATAACTAGAAGATGTCTATAAATCTACAAGTAAATCCAATGGACAATAAAAGACAAATAATTACACTTGGACATGATTAATTAAACAGCATTCTAAACATTCTCATGGTGATATCAAAGGAGAATATTCTTAGGAGAAGATTACTATGTTTACATGCCCAGACAAAATGATGCTTATGGAAATGAACTCCAAGAAATGGAAACATGAGGTCCATTTATTGTACTGACACAGTGTCTTTAAAAAAAGAAAGTAAGAAAAATGTCTTGGAAATTAAATATTCAGCAGAGTATAGGAAATAAATTTCCTAATCTGTTTGACTACTAAATAAATTTTTGTGGTACTTGTGATTGAGTTCAAGATCTTGGAAATGCTAGCCAAGTAATACACTATAGTCTTTTCTTGTGAAGTTTTAGTCCTGGGTGCATAAAATGTTTTGTGGAATAACCAGGAAAGATAAAAACAAGCAGAGAGATCACTAATAGTGAACAAATGGGACAGTTATAAACAATGGAATGAAATAATGCTCGAGAAAAAATGAAATTCTAATATATTATTTGGCTTTGTTATGAATAACATATTGAGTAATAAATATGTGACTGGATAAAAATGGAGAAGGATGTAGATGTTTGGTCATGAATCAAGTTGAATCAAGGTACATGGCTCAACTGGCACAAACAAGAAAAACATCTGAAACTGATTATTTAAATAAGAGCAATAAATATTTTTCATCCAGAAATACAGAGTTAAATGTATAGAAGGAAACTGAAATTCAATGCTGTTAAATGAGCTTCAGGCTTAATGTGAAACTGTTTTAAATTAAAAATTGGCTGCAATGATTGGTCACTTAATTGTTTTCCATCACTTCTTTGAAGTGTTTCTGCCAGTGAAGAGGTGTTGGAGAAGGAGCCACCAAGAGAACAACTTGATGCCAGCCTGATGAAGCATATAGACTCATAAATCCATGAAACCTTTTCTGCAGGCCTTGTTATCTCTGTGTCCTTTGTAATACATAGAACCATAACGTGCCAAGTTCTATGGCAAATGTCAGTTTTACTTGGATAATATAAGTGTGTTTTATGTCTAGGGGTTTACTGACGGAGACCTATTAAAAATTCAGTTTGGAGGTGCGAACGTGTCTGGATTTCAGATTGTGGACTATGATGACTCCCTCGTATCAAAGTTTATTGAAAGATGGTCAACACTGGAGGAGAAAGAGTATCCCGGAGCCCACACTAGTACAATTAAGGTAAGCTTTGCATCTGTTTTTCTCCCTATATTAGGGGAAAGATGGAACTTAGAAAATATATGAAGTAGAGTAGGTAGTTCAAAACAGGGTAAGCATGCAGACTGCTAAACATATGGTTTATATTTACTGCTGCATTTCACAGTTCCATGTCTGTTTCCTGCCTCCTTCAATTTCCTTTTGTTCACTCAGTTAACCATTTCTCAATGGAGTGAGTTCTGAAACTGGCTTTGGTGGTAGATAAAAACAGGCTCCTGCCTCCACTCACAATTTACTGACAGGAAGGCAAAAAGCATAGAAAGTATATGTGTCAAGGAAGGGAATAACAAAGTGAAGGATACAGCATGAAAGACTTAAATTACATGCTTTGAGAAAGCCTGGTCTGAGAAGGGATTTTTTTAAGATCTGAAGAAAGAAAGGAAGTCTGGCTGTTGTATAGAATACATTAGCTAGAAATAAATGAAAAAGAGAGGGTTTCAGTGTCCCCTAATCCTCACTTCTTCTAAAGAGCTCAGTTAATAAAGGGATGAGCACACACAATAGATTGTGTGTGTGTGTGTGTGTGTGTGGAGGGGAGGTTAATAACTACTGGATAGTGGTCTGGGACACTTCTGGAAACCGATAAAAATCTCACTTAACTTTAGTAATGGGGAAAAACAGTGTTTCATGCAATCAAACAGTTTTTGAGTGCATGGGTAATGAACTGCTGTGGTGCAAGAAGGTGGACCCAGTTTCTGCTGTGTTCTGTGTAGGTCTGAACACCCTGAGGTTTGTGTATCTTTATTTAATGTATTTGATTGTGTACACATACATGCATGTATTTACCTCCAAGTATCACATGTTTTGGCTGTTGAAGTCTTTTTTTTTTCTTCTGTCTTTAATCTTATTGGGAGCAGTTAGGATTAAGATGTGGCTAAGAGTGAGATGAGGAATAAATGGATTGAAGAAATACTGATGTTACTGGTGTTTGTACTCAGGACCTCTTGCTTTCTTGGATGGTGCTGTACCCTCTGATCTATGCCTCTGGCAGGGCTTTTTGGTGGTTAAACTAGGGATGGAATCCTCTGAAATTTTCTGCCTGGACTAGTTTCAAACTATGATCCTTCAAGGTTTCAGCCTCCTAAGTAGTTAGGATTACAGGTGTGAGCCACCAGCAATTTGCTGATGTTTATGTTCTTTATAAAACTAGAGATCTATGTATAATTTGATCAATAGCTATGAAACATTTCCAAATGTGCAGTGGTTTAGTTTGTTTGTGTAAACAAATGTGAATTATTCAGGGAACATATTCCATAGAGAGGAAACAAGTATGAGTGTATCTGCATAGGAAACTGCTCTGATATAAACGAGCAGGAGTTTGAAGGTCTCTACCTTGGTAAATATGGATCCTTTTAATTTAAAGTCAGTTTCAAAGAAGAATCCATGTCATAAAACACAATCCCGGGTTAACTTTTTCTAAAATGTGGATAGTTTCCTATTTAGTGATCTTGACTGAGATCATCATGTATGGTGTTCATTATGTAGTCTTGTGGAACAGCTTCAGATAACTAGACTGCTGAGAACTCAAAAGGACACTAAGCTGTCAGTGCTGGGGTATGTTTCCAGCAGAGCTCAGGCCTGATATATCTAATAGTGCTTCTTTGTGTGAGCATCGGGTTTCTGTCCCTTGTGTGATAGCACCATTTCAGTTTCCTTAAGAGCCCATGTGTTTTTCAACCCCAAATAAAACCAGTAGGTTCCTTTGACATTCAATATGTAGTCCCTCATTGCTACCTGCTCTGAGAAGTATGAAAATCCATGAGATCCTTTTATTTCCTCCTAGAATCCACATCAGGCTTCAGGTTTTATGTGTCCTCATATCAAAATGCATGGCACTCTAGGGGAGTAAAAGATGAGGACAATGCATTCTCTTTAAATTTTGCCAAAGCTTACTGCTGTATTTCATTTGGTTGAAAGTACAACCTTTCTTTGCTCCCTTCCCGATATAGCATTTGCTTTCCATAATGCCTCTTTTTCAGTTGTTTTGGCCAACTTTCTGACAGCTCATGATGGCCCTTTGTTATAGGACGCTACATAGTGTGTAGGCTTATTATTACGAGTGTTACTAAGAAGATCTAAACAGTTGTTTGACCCTAGGTCCAGTGTCCTCAGCTGTACAAAGCTGTTAGGATTGTCAATTCCTAAGTCACTGGGAAAATTAAATAACATTTACAAAATGTGAGCATAGTATCAGATCAAGATGACAATAAAGACTCATATATTTCCCTACCACTTTCCTAAGAAAAGAAATTCACCTAATTGCAATTTGAACATTTTGTAATTCCTCTACATCTACCACAGGGGCATATTTTATAAGGTCTTTGAAAACATGACAAAAATTACTGAAACAATCCCATGTTCCCGTGGCTGCCTAAAATGGCAGAGTGTATCAACTATGCTATACTATGTACTGATAAATCACTGATTGACCCCAGGCCAATATTTCCATCAGTGAGATGGAGTTGTAGCTGTTACTTCTCAGATTGCTGTGAAGATTTAACAATACTTACAAAATGTTCACATAATATTAGAAACGCAGATGCCTGTAAAGGTTCATTTCTTTCCCATATACTTTCCTGAAATAATAGAATTTTAAGCTAAAAAGGAGTACATAGTTTGAGAATGTGTATTTGCATATTTTCCTATCCCCTACCTTCCTATGATAAAGTTTATTGATTAAGTGCTGTAAGAAATAGCACCTAATAGTAATATGGGAAACACATAACAAATATATGTAGTAAATATATTATACATTTATACATGAATTTCTGTTGTTGTTTTGTTTTTTATCGGTCATGGGGCTGGACGCTGTCCCTGAGCTCTTCGGTTCAAGGCTAGTGTTCTACTACTTGAGCCATAGCGGCACTTCCAGCTTTTTCTGCTTATGTGGTGCTAAGGAATTGAACCCAGGGCCTCATGCATGCAAGGCAAGCACTGTACTACTAAGCCACCTTCCCAGTCCCTATAAATGAATTTCTTATCGTACTCTATTTAATTTTTTCTTTTCCATGTTAATTTGAGATGACACAATGCCTGTGTTATGAGATAAGCGAGATGGGTTTTGCCCTCAAAGTTTGTTACCTCAACATGAGTTTGCTCTAAGTTGAGAACTTTATCTTTTTCCTTAAGGAAATACTTCACAGATTAACTCTGGCACATCCAAATTGGCCGCATCATGACCCTTGGTGACTTGCATGCGTTATTAATTAAAATACAGGCTACTTGCACACAGCACCGCAGTACCATCAGTTAGTCCAGTATATAGCTACCAAGTGACAGGAAGGAATTGTATATAGTATGGACACTGAACCAAAGAGTGATTTTTCCCTCTCAGATAAGATTGAGTAGAAAGCCTGAGAGTACCTACTACAACTCAGAACAACATATAAATTAATACTTATATTTCTGATTTTGCATTTTCAACTGATGATGGCAGTGATATTTAACCATGGAGTCAAAAGCATAGATGTAAAAAAAATTGCTCTAGTGCTTTCAGGAGTTTTTTCTGCTTGCAGAAGCAGAAAAAAGAAGGGAAAACTGGGGAAATATATCCCATTCCCCAAATACATAAATAAAAAGTACATTCTCAAAACATGGTTTGAGGAAAGTGGGGTAATATATCTTTAATGGGATTATTTCCAGAAGTTACTTCCTTTGATACTGTCTTTTTGGGGAGATCATGGACTATATAAGGTACATTGTCTGATGACTTAAATTACAGCTTACTACTCTATAATAAAACTAGTTCCACAGTGCATGAAAATGTATGAAATTCCAGTTTATTGCATCAAATTCCTTCCATTGTTAGACTTTGGAAATTAAAGCTGTGAAAATAATAAATACACAATAGTGTCAAAGTTTTATTCTTTCCCCCAAAGGTAATGCAGCTTCAATAATTTCCTAACCAAATTTTCAATATATGACATTTTCAATATAATTTAATACTTAATATATTTTAATAACCAAATATAAACCTCAATGTTTAAATTTCTTCATTATTGTTTTTAAAAATAATGCTACTGTTATTGTTAAGATGTTATACAAAGGAGCTACTGTTTTGAAAATCAAGTAATGAGTACATTTCTTTTTTTGGGCAATATAACCCCTTTCTTTACTTTTTTCTAGCTTCCCTCTCCAATCCCTGCCTACAAGTTACAGAGGCAACTTCTTTCTTATATAAAGAAAAATCTAGAATTTTTTTTAAAGTTCATGCCCTTCAGATTTTAAGTCTGAGTCTCATTAATTTGCTAGTAACTTGGAGCAATATTTATTCATTGATGCTTCTATCCATTCAATATGCTTGTATTGAATTTGTACTCTACAAGGCATATTCTAGGTATTAGAGAAAAGATGAAGTTCTGCTCTCCAAGGAGTTTATAGTTTCTGAACCAGAAACCAGCAATTACTTTGTATCATTGATAAAAGCTATCTTATTTATATCTTGAAAGTATCTATCTAAAATTGTATCATTTTGGAGTTTCACTGTTTAGCTGTGGCTGGCCTTGAACTCAGTGTTGTAGGGTCATCTAGAACTTTATCTTTTTGAATCCGTCCCTTGAATGCTGGCATTACAGGCATGTGATACCACATAGGATTAAAATCTGAGTTTTTGGTTTCCGTTTCTGCCTCTCAAAAACCTCTGTAGTACATTTCTTTAAGAGTCTTTCCTATCTCAGGTGATGACAACTTTAGCCTTCAGTTGTTGCTTTAGACCAAAAATTAGAAAATCCTGAAACTTCTGCCTTTCTCCTACAGCCCATATCCAATCTATCATAAAATCCTATTTGTTCTCTCACTTCTTACATCTCCTCTGAAATTGCTCCAACATCCTCCCCTACCCATGTATATCAGTGGCTCCAGAACCAGACTTTTGTTCATTTCTACTCTCACCTTCTAGTCTTCATGATTTTTTAAATTAAAAGTTAGATTATGTTATAGTTCTGCTCCAAACACTCTAGTATTGT